CTCTCTCTCTCTCTCTCTCTCTCTCTCTCTCTCTCTCTCTCTCTCTCGTTCGTTGCGTTCGATGCAGGGGGAACCCGTTTGTCGCGTTGAAGCGTTATGGCTCACGCTGCAAATGAGGTGCGACCGAATGCAACGGCCTTTTTTGTACCCGTTCGGACCGTTTCCCCTGCGCCACCCCCAACAAGTCGCCGAAGGCCGGCACCCCGCGAACGCCCTGCATGACGCAAACGGGTTCGTGCGGGTTCTTTTATTTTTTTTAGTAAAAAAAAATAAATAAATAAAAAATGCATGGGGTGGTACCCGACAACGAACACTACCACCTCACACGGTCAGAAAACCCCTACCCCCCCCCTAAACGCGCGAAAATGCGGTTCACGGACCCCGTTCATTCGCGTCCAACGCGTGTTCGAACAGGGATTGAACGCGAATTCAACGCGAGTTCACGCGAAACACGCGTTGAATCTAATTTCGGACACACAGGTCTTGTGTTGATCTTCAAGAGCTAGTACCTGGATCCAGTGATATCCTGACTTAAGATCAATCTTACTAAAGGACCTGCAACCTTGCAACTGGTCCAACATGTCGTCAATGCGCGGAAGTGGTTTCGCGTTTTTCACAGTGATGGAGTTCAGCCCTCGATAATTAATACATAATCGAAGTTCACGTTCCTTTTTGGGCACGAATAAGACAAGCGAATTCATCCCTTGTCAGTAAGTTCCTGCAACTTTTTTCGAAGTTTCTCAAGTTCCCGGGGAAACATTCGATAGATGGGACCCTTGGGAATTTTACTTTCGAGAATAATCTCAATTGTGTGCTTGATAGCACGCTCGATAATTTTCGTCGGCTCAGTCTGCAAGTCTTTGTACTCGTCGAGAAGTTTTTCGATAGAAGGTGGATAGGATGAGGAACACTCACCAACTCGTTTGACAAACACCATCATCACCTCTTTATCCAACTTCTTCTTTACTGCCATCAATCGAAAAACGGGGTAACTCATACCGCAGAAAGACAGAGTAGAATCAGAGTCAGACCTATGATATAACTTTATTGTTCGAGTTTCGGACTTCTCGTCCTTTAGTTTGACAATTTTCTCTTTGAACTTGACTTCAGGGTCAGCTTCTTCGTGCCAATTCATACCCAGAATCATGTCAAAGGGGAGATTTTTCTTTATAAGGAATAATATCTCATGTCGGTTCTTCTTACCTTCCTTGGATCTGAAATAACATTTGACACCATGGACGTACTGAGAGACAGTGATCGTGCTCTTGTCAGCCAGCATAGACGTGATAGGTTGAGGTAAATCCTTTACCTTAATTCCCAAATGCAATTTACGAATTGCCTTCTCTAAGATATAAGACCGTGTCGATCATGGATCTAACAATGCACCTACTCAAGTGTGTACAATCTCAATATCCGCGATCATTAATTCACCCTTAGTCTTCGCTTTCTTAGTCCACGAACTCCGAAGTGCTATGAGTTCATTGCGGAGTTCGTCAAGGGAATCGTCCAGTGAGACAGAGCAAAGGATAGTATCAGAGTGCTCTGGACGATGGGCTGAAGAAGAATCATCCTCTACCTTGAGAGTCGAACGGTTAGAAGGGGTTGTAGGCGCCTTATCTTTACTTTGGTCAAAATTTTTTGACCCAGCAAGAGCAGATGCTACTCCTACCGGCTGCTCGCTTTTGAGTTTCGGATAAGTGGGCACCAAGCTAGGACATGTCCTACGATGCCACACTTGAGGCACTGACGATTGTTCATCTTGGACTGTCATTCCTCACGTGTCATATTCATTTTGTCCTATGGTTTCACGAATGCGATGCAGGGATGCTCAGGAAACGAGTGTGACCTCCTCTTCTTCTTCCATTGACTTTGGCCTCCCTTGTTGGCCATGACATCAGTGACGTCACCCTTCCCGGACTCACTGTTGCCTGTACGACCTCCTCTCTCAGATTCTTCGAGTGGTAATTTTTCTACGGTATCGTCATCGAAGACAACGAGCAGATGGTCTTGACACTTTTGTCGTCAAATAACTCGCTTACCGTACCCACCTATCGTTCCTTACTTCACCACCGAAGCATACGTACCTTTTACCTGAGCGGTTATTTGCTCTCGTTGGAGAGCGAGATCTCGAAACTGCCGATAATTGTACTTACCAGACTTCGACTCTGCCACGAGCTGCCCACGAATGTGCTTGGGCAAGGCGCGTGAATAAATGTATAGGATTTGGTTGTCTTGTAAGTTAAGTCCAGGTACCTGCAGAAGACGATCAACTTCACGCAACAAGGCCTCAATAGAAGTCCAACGTTTCTGGCCTATCGTGGTGAGTTCATAGAAAGCTTTGTTAGTTGTGGTCTTATCGAGGATTTTCAGGAGAAACTACCTCAATGTCAGGGTTTTAGCCCACTCACCTGTATATTCGAAGCCAGCAACGTTGGCTTCAGACAACACCAACTCCTTAGCCACCCCCCCCAGACATGACGTGGAGAAAACGACCTGACTCTCAAGCTCGACGGGTGTAGTCCCACAATAAGTCTGGATCTCTGTTATCCATAACAACAAGTTTTCATCTTTCTTGTTGTTGTACGTGAATGGCAGTTTCATTTTGACCTTTTCTTTCTTCTTCGGTTTTTCTGCCTCTTTGACCGGTTCTTCTTTCTTTATGGTGAGTTGTTATCTCTTCTCTGTCGGTTCCTCAGATTCTTTCTTCGAGGTTCCGGGTTTGTCTAACGTCACCTTCCGCATTACATCCTTCATGAGTTTTTTTGGGGGTTTCTTCTTGTCTTCTTCCCTGTTCGTCCCCTCCTTAATACTCACATTGTCTTTCCCTTTCATCAATCTCATCATAGTATCTAATGAGACTTAAGTGTCTATCTTCCTCTCAAGATGAACAAGATAAGCCATAATAGATTGCAATACAAACACAAGATCAGTTTTAACTTCCTCAAAGTGAAAGCGTTCTCTCATTTCTTCTAACATTTTGTCTTGCGGTTCTTTTTCTTCCTTCCTTCCCCGATACTCTTCAATCTTCCTTCTTTCATCTGCTAGAGATTTCTCCAGTTGTCTGATATTTTTCTCCATTATTTCTACAGTCAATTCCTTCTTTCCTCTTCCCCTTCTTCCTTTTTGCCCATCTTTTCCTTTTGCTCGGTGACATACCGGTCAAGGGCGATCCACCCTTGCTTTATGAGGTCCTCTATCCTCCTGACGGTTTCCATCATCTGAACAGCAGTTTCAGCGGCATCAAGTTCACCCTCTGCAGCTCGCAGGTTGAACTGTCCGTGAACATGCTGTTCAGCTGCTGGTCCTGCACCGTGTATCTCACCAAGCAACTGACGAAGAAGACCCTTCAAAGTTTGCCTTCTTGCTTCAATCTGGCCACGAGTTTTCAGTTCTCCACCTTTTTTCCAGAGAGAAGTCATTTTTCTAAACGTGTATCTTCCGCACAATAAATAAAATTAAGAGACAAAAATAAATTTCACGGCACACGCAACTTTACAGCAAGAGAAAATTAAACAAATAGGAAGAAACGAGTTCTCAATTAATTTCTAAGTTCTAACTTTGCTGTATGTTCTTTGTGATGACATCCTACAGCTACAGGTACCGCATCCTCGGCCAGTGCGATCAGGACAACAACACACTTGTGAGTATACACAACAACCAACAAGTGAGTAGGTGGGCCAACACAACAACACAATCAATGGTTAGCTCCCTT